AATCAGAGTTTAGACTATGTCCACATATATATTTCATTATTCCAGGAGAAACAGCAAAAGCCTGTTCGGTTTTAATCAATCAACACAAAATTTACCAGAGGCAAGAGCTGTTAGTAAAAACCACTATGTGATAATAGTAAACTTCGGTAATAACCAAATGTAGTAACTCTAGCGATAACTGAATAAATGGATAACTGTACACAACAGTAAAATCTAAATAATGCAGTAATAAAAACTCTAATATTAATTATACAATGTAATGATAGTAAACTACAACAATGATGTAATACTGTAAAATCAGTATCCTTGATGTATGTCTTTAATTTTCCAACAGTTGAAATGTAACTGCACCCTGATGGTGACTGCTTCAACTGATGACACTAATCTCCTTCAATAACATTTTTTAATATATCAAACAGAATTCTCACCTTTGTTAATTTCAAAAGAACGAAAGAAGTATTGACATACATCATCTGAAGAACATTCAGGGTGAAATGCTTTGATCTGAAGAAAAGGTAATCTAAGTATAAGTTGTGTATAAAATTTCTACATTTATAAAGTACATTTTACAAGTAATAACACCAGATTATTAAGAATCATTCATACAATACTTATACAATTATACCTAATTTCTTAAAGAAAGCATATGAGTTTGTTAATTTACTTTATTATTTATTATGTATGGTTTTCTCTGTTTTATTCTATTTTCAACAGTCTGCATGATTATATATTGTTAAGAAATATTTATAATTTCTTTTAATCATCAAACAAGCCTTGTCAGTTTTCCATACAGCACACTCCACTAATCTTGGGTGAAATTCAGTAACACACTTTTGTTTTCACTCTGTTATTTAATGATTGGGAACTTTGAAACTAGTGGAATACATTTGGTCATTTTTAGTAACATATGCTCACAATGGGTGTACTTAGACTCCTGTTTTTAAGTATTTTTGTTTCAAAAACATAATGTCCAAGATACTCTATTTTCAAAGTGTTGTAACAAGTGTAAAAATTGATACTGTAGATCATTTCAAAATATTTTTATAAGTATATTACAAAACTGTTGTATCAAACATTTTTTCTCTTTATTGTGTCAATATTATCACTTTTAATGATGGTATTACAGGTTACTTTAAATATTCTGTCAATAACATCAGAAATATATGTACTAAAGATCAGCAAGTTTCATAGCCACAGACATCGCTTGGCATTAGGTTTCTAAGATCAACTACAAACAAAAGACGTATGGGTTTTCAAATAAAACTTTTATGTGAGAACAGTAAACTTCAGTAATAACTGAATGCAGTAATTCTACTAATATTGTATAAATAGACAACGAAGCTCTAGTAAAATGTATATAATGTAATGACAATAATAAAATAATTGCTTTGTTTGGTCAAATCAAACCTTCTAGTTTGTTCAAAACTTGTATATTTTCAGGCAATAACAATTCTGTAAGTTATCAGATATGATGTGTTCCTATGATTACACACATGGAATATCCTTCCACCCTATGATACATAAAATGTTTATCTATAAAGAAAGTTTCAATTATTAAAAATTTGTTAAAATTTTTTAACAAAACTTTGTTAACATGGAGCATTTTGAATAAAATAACAAACATTGTTCACTGTAAAAATGCCAGTTTTTGTTTTTATTTTTCATAAAACTACGTGTAAACTATTTGTTACTTTAGCTTGTTTTACACACACATAACAAAACTTTATCCAGGCTCATTTTGGAAAGCCAAGCAAAATTCTAATTATCAACATAAATTTGCCAAATAATAAGCTAATGACTGTAATGTAAGATTGCTGTAACTGTGAATCACAGAAACAAATAAAATTCTCTCCATCATCTTAATACAGAACATAATGAATTCAGATGCATTATCATATATTTTATGCTAGTACTAGCAAAAACGCTGCCCTATGAGTGGCTGTTTGGTCAGGATCTTGCTTCTCCATCACAAAACTGATCCTGACTTCTTTGAACTTGATCTTGGCAAGCAAGCTGATGTACTTCTGTATTTCCAATTTGTTCCTGGCTTTTTCTTATTGAATCTTGCCTCATAACTTAGTGAGCAAGCCTATCTCTTTCTTATTCTTTCTTTCTGTAACTTACATCCTGTCTTTTCATTTTCACTCTCAAAGTTTCAGGATTTCTCCGTGGTACGTAACTTTTCTGTTTGACAATTTTTGGCATCATGGTTGTTGATGTTTTTGATCACTTTATACTCATACTAAAGCAAATTTTGAAAAGATGTGACAATAATTATTTGTTGTGAATTGGGCAACTGAGTTATTTGAAGACACTGATCAGATGTGGAAATTTATAAATATTCAAGGTAAACATATTCCTTATAGAAAGAGAAGGGTAGCTGCAAGTTAAAAACCAGGTCGGCTTACAAAGAGTATAAGAAATAAAATTAAAGAAAAGCATCAGAAATTTGAATTGACTGGAATGATGGGAGATTTAAAAGATTATAGAAGATCATGTAAATTGAAGAGTTCATCACAAAGAATGCAACAGACTTCATCAGATGCCTCAAAATTCCTTATGGTTTATAACCATGAATCAAAACTATTTATTGTGATTATGTTGGAAGTTTAAATAATAGAGTGATAACTTCTTTTACAGATTATTCTCCAATGCTGCATCCACCATCTCTCCTAACAAAATGCATGGTGATGTTGCTGGTAATGGTGACGATGCAGTCATAGATGAAGATGATAATAATGACTCAGAAGAGGATACTGTAGAAATTCATTCTTTAGCTGATATATTAGCTGTTGATGATGAGGTATCTTCTTGTTCATGTATGTACATTTTGCCAGACCGTCAAAGATGTGCCTCTCATACATTGAATCTCGTTGCTATTAGTGCTATAGATAAAGCTTTAAATAACACTAGTATAAAAAAAGTGTCTTGATTAGCAATAGCAAAAACCTCAAACCCTACAGAATAAATAGAGAAGAAGCACTGATACAAGTGAGAAAAAAATAGGGGGATGCTTGGTTGTTCCTTGTCCAACTCATTGGAATTTAATGTTTGATGCCTTAAGTCACGTAGATATGTTGATATCTGGAAGTGCTTCAAGTGGCCAAGTGCTACACCAAGTTTTTATCAACTAGGCATTGTGCAGCTGAATCTAGCTGAGAACATTTTTATTTCAGAATACATTCAAGTCCTGAAATCTATTGCTAGAGTACTTGACATCTTGCAGTGTGAGAACAAAGCATTTATGGGACTACTGATTCCTACTTTGTATGTTTGTCTAGCCAAATTGGGTGATTTGAACTATAAATGGTTGCAAATTTGCTTCATTCTAGCTTCAAGCCCTCCTGGTTTCCAAAAAATTGGAAGGAATAAGTTCAACAAAAAATGATCACAAAGACAGAAGAACACAGCCCAATATGGTACAGAATTGCCTAATCAAGATAGCACAACAGAAAGAGAAGATGATTATTTCAGATGCCTGTAAATAAAGGTGGCAAAAAATACTGGATACAAAAGTAATCAAGTAGTTGGTGCTTTTTCTAGATAAATCTCTTGTAAAGTCTGTTCACAATGATGCATTTGCAAACCCAGTCTTAAATTCAGTTTTCATTTAATTAAATACAGATATTCCATCAAGTGCCACAGTTGAGAGGTTTTTTTTCAGTTGGAAAAGATGTGCTGAGGGCAAAAAGAGGAGGAATGTCTGATGCAAGCTTCACAATAGTTGTTTTATTGAAATGTAACAGTGATATTGGCCTCCCAAATTAATTGTTTTAACACTGCAGTTATTACCTGAAGTAAACTCTGTTTGATTATTTCACACTAAATGATAGGCTGCTTATTAGTTATTTTAGTCATTTTTATTCCATTTTTTGTATTGTGTAAGTCATACGTTGCTCTTACTTTGAATATTATAAAGGAAAAATAAATGTAGCTCCTTTACTTGCTATTCTAAAACCTCTCAATGTACAATGCATTTTTTTGTTATGAGTTCAATGCTTGTAGTTCAGTTCTGTATACATACATGTAATATACGATGTACACGGTGCATGTTTTATATGTAGAATAAAGGTATCTATTTGAAAAATAAGGAGTAACAAGTAGTTACCCATTACATTTTTAAATAACTAACTTTTTGAGTAATGACACTCCTATTTTTAGCAGGTAATGGCCAAAGTAATGTCATTACTTTTTTCTAGTAAAGTGCCCAACACTGTCAACATGGGTTGGTCCTTTGATATAACTATGTATTTCAAAGCTGTATTTAAATCCATGCTATACCACAAAACATTCCCTGCATTACAAGAGTGACATTCAGTCCCTTAGTGTGGATGGTGGGTGATAGAGTTTTGCTGACTGGTTGCCTTTACTGGTTGTCAGTAGTAAAAAATTAGTGATGGCAGCAGATACCCTCAGTAGCTTTACTATTATTACAAAAGAAGTCCTAAGAAAAATTATTTCTATGTTGTAGCCTAGATTCAATTCCAATTCTTCTTGATGGAAGTCTTGTGTGTCATCCAGTAAACCTAGCATAAAAGCCAGCAAAACCTGGATACCCATATTGAAAATATTCAAATAATTAGTCAATTAAAATTCTAAATGTTGAAGACTAGCAGTTGAGAATACCATACAATGAATTGGAATAATAGGCTATTGCACATAGATTGGTATTTGAGTCTTGTATATCTATTATGTTCGTGAATTCTATATTTGTTGGTCTTTTTGTTTCTCAAATGCATTATAATCCACATTCACAGGGGATGCTGAAAATGTTGTGTTTCCTCTCCATGGGGTCTTTAGGTAGTTTGGTGTGTACTATCTATGATTTTCTTGCACTGTCATTTCTGAATACTGTTCTGACTTTATGTTGGTTACATAACCTCTGTATGCTATCAGGGAGATTTCTGATATAGGGGAATGTGACTGTGTGTCTGCAATGTTCTTGTTGTTTATTCTTTATCAAGTGTTTTAGGTATCTATTGTTAAAGAGAGTTGTTGTGATGTATACATTTTCTTAACTTCTTTGGTACACACCAAAGACTGAATATATGCTAGTACATGCACAAGTGATGATTGCACTGATAGGAAAATGCTTTTATGTTAATTATTAGCACTAATTTTAAAAGCACAGAAACATATAAGAATATAGGAGTAAAGAAAAGTATCAGAAAATTATCAAAATACAGGAGTGGTGAGAGGCCTGTATTACTGAAGCAATACTTGTCACATAATTTATTACAAGTACAACCTTACATATATCAACATAATAAATTTTAATGTTTCAAGTAACACCTCTAATTGCTCTCTTATTCTAAAGGTGATCAAATTGATTAATCCAATAATCATAACATTCGATCAAATGATGAAATCAAAGTAAAAATGTAACTTATACATATCAACAAATACCAGTGATAATAAAGGTACAAACAATTAACTCTTCAACAAAGTAACATGATAAATTACATTACAAAAAATGAGTAGTCAACACACTTACCCTCGCACAATAGCGACCTGAAGACAAGTTTCTTATTATGAAAGTTGTATCCTGAAATATAAAAAACAACAGGAAATTAAAACAAAATTTGCTATAAGGGTAACTTGTAATAATGTTTTAATATTAAAAGTTCAGTGAAAGCATTTTCTCATCAAAGTCATACTTTTTGTAACTCTCACAGATACTCTCAGGACTATATTTTATGTCCTTTGTACTCTCCCATCCAAAATATTAACACTCCTAAAGTTATAATTTTCCTATACTAAAAATGTATTTCTGATAGGTACTTACCTTCACTCACATAAATAGCTATTCTTGTTCAGTGCTGTCCTCTATATGCAAAAAAACTAGACTAATTAATAGGTGGAGGGACCGGTGCAAGGGAAAAAAAAAGCATCTGAAGGACACTCCCTAAGATGAGACAGTTAGATTCTAAGATCTGATGTGGGGGACTGCGCCATGTCTAAACCAGGTAAACTCTTTGCCCATCTTAGAAAGATGTTGCACATATGGGTGCAAAAACAGAGGAGCACATCCAAGTGAAAGAGAACTAAGGTTAGACAGTGATCCAAACCATACAATATTTATGAAACTCTATCCCAGAAAATATAAAAATGGGTAAAATTAAAAGGATGTGTCCTAGATGTAGAGTGGCTAGGTCGTGACGGACTGTACATGGCAAGTCAACTACATCCATGTGGGGGGTAAGATAAGGATCATAACATTGGTAAGTCAAGTACATCCATGTGGGGGAAGGAAAGAGGATCAGATCACCAACAAGCCGACTACAATCCAAAACCCAGGCCACCAGGAATCGATATTCATGTGTGGGTAGGAAAAAGGATCATACCTTCTTCACCTCAAGTTCATGAGACCAGAGGGAATCAAGAACCTCCAGATCCATTAATGGGCACATGTTACTATAAGAAATTTGTAGATTGATCCAGAAACCCTACATCTGGTATAGGAAAGATGTCTGCAAAATGTAAACCATCTACCTCAAAATTGAAATTAACCAGAACCACCCCAAGCACTGTAACATCCTCAAAATAAGAAGCATTGAGGGACAGCAGAAGGGGAAGAACTTTAATAATCTGAAAGTACCTCCATTGTGACCCACAACACGGATGAAGTAACAAGAATATAACTGAGGGAAGAAAATAGACATCTGTAATACATGTGTAAGGACTTATGTTGATTGGTTCAACTCTAAATCCAAAACCCAGCCACTGGGAACCAATATCTGCAAGCTGAACTGCAATTTTGATGGCTCATTCTCATTTATATTTATTTCATATTGGAGGATACCACGTCATCTAGACCAGCAAAACACCACTGCCCTACTCTCAATTAAATGGTTTTATAATCACTTCTATATTTTTGTTTGTATTGTGCATTTCATTAACCCATTCAGGAGGATGCCTCCACAGTCCACCACCCCAGTGACTGGGAACTGGAAAGTGGTAAGGATTCTCAAACTCCACTAGAAGAAAAGGGGGAGGAATGCGGTGGAGAGTCCAGAAGAATGACAACACCTGAAACAATGCAATGGACGACTATGAAACCTTATTTCTAAAAGCAAACCATACCAATTTATTCAATACAAGGCATGGCAGGGACGGGCAGCTATCCCCTTCTGCTTTACCTATGTAGTCCATGGGTGAGTACGGTCCAGGACGGGCAAATTTTTTAAGCAATTCCATTGTGAGAATAAACCTAGAAGTGATCTTGTGGAACACCCCATCTCTGCAGTGTGCAATGTGTGGCTATGGAAATATAACATGTAAGTCGATGTGGCCTAAGAGTGCAGTTTGATTGGTTAAAAAATACCTGGCCAGGCACCACTTGCCATAGAGCGGGATCCAAACAATGAATAATAATAAAAGGAGAAAAGGCCCCTGAAAAGAAAAAGAACAATACAAAATTAGCTTACCCAGTCAAAGTCTCACTGAAGTCTGAAGAAGGGCTACAGACAGTTGACAATAGCCTGAAGAGGAAGAAACTGTGATCATAGGCGAATAGTGAGAGACAAACATAGGGGTAGTCCACATGCCCGATTGAAGAATTTCCTTCAAGAGATAGCAAAGATGAGATGACAATGAAAAGGTAAGGTGTCAGATTTGATGAGAAGAAATCCTGAGCAAAGAACGAGAGGAAGACAGTAAAGTGGAATAAACCAATCGAAATACAAGCTGAACCCAATTGGTGGAAGGAAAGAGATCACGAACAGAGGATGGCTGCCGAGAAATAGAGAGGCACGAACAGGCACCATGGAAGGAAGCCGTGAAGGCAATATAACAGCAAAGAGCACACACAGGACATAGAAGTCTATCCAGATCAGGCCGAGGATAAAGGTAGGAAATGAAAGGAAGGGAAACTGTCAAAAACGAGGAGTTACCCTCACAAGCTGCCAAAGTTTTGGGAAGGAAAGAAAGATCTGGATAAAGGAGAAGATATGTAGAATGATAAAGAATATGTGAAACATTGATGGCAAATAAATAAGACCTTCAATGTCCACGAGCTAAAAGGAGAAGGAAATAAGCCTTAAGGGAAAGGTGAAACAAGGAACACATGGAGAGTGGTTTGAACAGAGGCAAAGTGAAACAGTGAAGGACCATATTAACATCCTAATCCAGAAGGGCAGCCTGCCACAGCAGATGACTAATCTGGAAGGAAGTATCAACAGGGAAAGAGTAGTAGAGGTAAACATCCTATGGTAACAGAAAATATGAACAGTGGGTTGAGCAGGGGAAAACCCTTGACCGAGAGACCAACTAAGAAAAAACATTCCATTTATGTTCATAAATTTTCATGGAGGAAGGGTGAGTGGGACGAGCCAGAAAAGAAGCTATCCTTTGGGATAAGCCAGATCTCCTCGCCAAGGACCAGATAAAAACCAGGCATGAAGAAGGAGGACAGGAAGGGCTGTATGAAGCACTGGTGACTGAGGTTGATAAAGAAGATGTAGAATCAGAGGAAGAGGTAATGAAGGGGTAAGTTGGAGCTGAAGAAGTCGCAGAAACCACTGCTGGGCCGGCCAGTAAGGAGCAGTCAGAAGGATTTGACACAGAGGATAGATATACAAGTTTTTGTTGGTCCAGTCCTGGCTGAAACATTGACAGCCAAAGTAAAAGAATGAGGGACTGGAGACCAAAACAGAGGCAATTTGTTGTGAGGAGTACCCCACTGAAGGCAAAGCCACTGGAAAACAAGAGGATTAAAAGACCATTCTGTTGGATAAACTTTGTCTGGATGGGAAAGACGATCTACGAAAAACGATATGAATATCTAGCATGTGGGCCCAAAAAAGAAGAACCAATGTATGAAAACGGAGGGATCGAAAATGGGTGCTGCCCTAGTAATAGAGATAAGCAATCACTGTAAAATTTTCGGAATGGATCATCACCAGATGATTTCTGGCCAGATGGAGAATATGAGCCAAAGCATGATGTACAGCGAGAAGCTCCAGGATGTTGATATGATAAGACCTCTCAGCCACAGACCAATACCCTGAAGCTTTCTCTTGATTGATCCATGCTCCCCATTCCTGAAGGGATGCATCTGTGAAAATGTGTATATCTGGATCAGGAGGAGGAAGCAGGACACCCATCGACATGTGAGTCTTGTCCAACCAGCAATGCAGATGGTTGACCAGGGTAGGAAGAAAGGTAATAACAGTCATCAAAGGATCCCTCGCAAGATTTCACTGGTCGTAAAGAGCCCATTGAAGAGGCTGCATATGAGCCTGACCTAATGGGATAAGGGCTGCCATGGAAGACCACATCCTCAAAAGTGATAGAACCTCATGAGCTGTATTAGAGGGAGCAGTAAGAGCATGGAGAACTAAAAGCTCCATCATATGAAGTCGAAGATGGACCCAACTGAGATGGATGTTGAAAAAAATACCCAAATGGGCAAGATATTGGGTAAATCGTAAACATGACTTCTCCAACTTGATTAATCAGCCTACTCGAGCCACCTCCAGGAGCAGATGTTTAGTGTGACAGGTGAGCTCCTGTTTGGAATTAGCTAACAGTAGCCATTCATCCATATAATAATGAAAGCGCAACCCGAGTACATGTAAGTGACAAACAAATGCTCTGACCACCTGATAAAAAACATATGGGGCTGAAGCAAGCCTGAAGGGCAGTGCAGAAAACTGATAACCACTCCATAGCAAACTTGGAGAAAGATGATGAACAGATTCAATGGCATGATGAAATAGAAGGTCTCGTACTGCCTCGAGATCTGACAGACATTGGCTGGTGGTAGGATCCCGAGCCATAGGGAAGGAAACTGATACCTGAGACAAACGTGGGGGTGGGAATTGTAGGACAAGTCCCTTCGACAAAACCAAATAACCCATGAATCTGTGGTGAAAGATCGCCAAAGGTGAACAAATTCGTACAATTGAGCTCTCACTAGACCAGAACCCACTGGGTAATTGCTGGTACTGTTGGTGACATGACCATCTAAGTCAAATAATATAACGAGATGAGAAATCCCTAGAAGAAGGAACAGGTAAAGGCTGAGAAGGACTAGGATGGGAAACAAAAATAGGGGCTTGTCTTGGCTCTGACTGCAACAAACATGCTACTAAAGGGGAAAGGGTAGAGTGTTGATGCACAGATCACATGTGATTCCAAAGTCTCAGGTGCATGATCGAAAACAATCTGCTGAAGGAAAGGGGCCATACATAAATCCCTAGAATAAGGGGGTGGCAAATGAACCTGGGACAAGGCTGCATCTTGACCCAGAAGATCCCAACAACAGAGAAACCACGTGTGTAAATCAAGAGCCAAAGATGACAATCTAGTCAACATGGAGGTAATAAGGGAGAGGCTTTCCCTTGACAAACCCTCAGGGTCTCAGTGGATCACCTTGAAAAGGAGGTGGATATAAGATAAATATCGTAGAAGGGAAGTAAGGGTATGACAAAGGCCCGAAAACTGGTCATGGTTTAAATGCACAAGAACTGCCCCCCCCCCCAAGGTAAAATCGACCCCAACTGTTGAGAGTCAAGAAATGGACAGTCAGCTTGGCACCCTCAACCAATTGTGAAGCAAACTGCTCAGCATGAACCCTAATATCCAGGGAGGGTGGGAAATTAAAGAAATCAGAGAAATGGATAAAACATTACATACCTGAAAAATCACGTCTAAAAATGAGCTATTAGGCCTAGCTAATTACGCAGGTGGGGCATAGGAAGACACGGCAAAATCCGGTGTTGGTAAAAGGCTACCAAAATCTTCATCAGCCCAAACAGGTTCTGCTTGCTCAGGGGGAAGTGGGGCAAGTTGAGGAGAAGGAGGTTGACCCGTATAATGACCAATCTCATGGGAGTTGATCACAGATAAATCCAATTACAGGTTATCCCCACCCCTCCCTGCAGCCTGTGAAATAGTGCTAGTAGGAGGTAAGATACTCAAAGTGGTAACATGAACCTCAGAATTCATTGTAGAAATATATGTTTGATGTAAAAATGCAAGTGTGAGGAAAAAAAAATAAAGACTGGGAAATGAAGTTAAAGTCAAATACTTCTTCAATGTAGAGAAAAAAATTTAACAGACATTTTTTTTCTTTGGGTGTTCCTTGTGTGTTTCACATTTGTGACTTTAACCATTTAATTTCCGAAGTGGTTAAAGTCACAAATGTGAAACACACAAGGAACACCCAAAGAAAAAAAATGTCTGTTCACGAGTATTGCAAAATGAGAAGTGATAGTTCGGTAGAATTGAATAGAGGGAGTCACAGAAGCCAAGGTGCAAAAACAGGTTCTTGGATTAAAGATACCATAGCATCATTGGAAAAAATTACTCACCTCACCTTCTCCTCATTTTTTTAACAAACTACCCTTTCCAACAGTGCATTATATACATACACATGTTTGCATCATGATTTTTATCCATTTAACAGTGTATAAAGCAGAAAGAACTTAATAGATATGTTTAATTTCATTGTGTTAATATGTTAATTGCAAGAATGTTTAAATTTTATCTCCAAGAGAATTCTAATCAACAATGCTATGTTCTGTACATTAAAGCTGATGAAATTGTGATCTTTACTGGTCATGAAATTAGTTGCAACAATTGATATGAACTTCAATACTCAAATATCTTATATATATATATA